CGCATTCGACGTGCCTCCGCCACGCCAAACACGAGCTGGTCGTCAAGTCAGATTTCCCGCCTATTTCTGACACTCTCTCGCTTATCCCATTTGCTTGCTCTCACTTTATCGCGCTAGTTATCGCTCATTACTCATTCACTAGGAGGGGAGCTCTGTAGCGTCTCTGACGTTCTCGCATCATGACATCATCATTTGTTTGCATGTACACGTCATATTTTCCTCATCATCACAAACACTGATTCACCATACTCTCGCACACATTGTAATACCTACTACACGTACTTCGCTACCATAATAATTACGTAATGTTTGGCTAGCATAGTTCCAATCCACATTACGACATCTTTTGATGTTACGCACTCCTCGCCTACAACGCTATTGTAGAAAAGTAGTCTTTACTCATCTCTTGTAAGTTCTGTTTGCATCCAAACACTTCTTCCAAACAGCACACGTCAGATATCTAACAAAACAACAAACTTCATTGCACAGTCTTCTATCACAATCTCTTTCCTATATAAACCTCCTTTCTCTTCACTTTCTTCATGACATTTAGTGTTCGCCAGTCTTGTAAAGATCTTGGAAACTAACACTCGTTGCACTGTATCTAGACTACTAAACTGATATCACATTGTGCCACAGTGGGAGGCGAGAATTCTCTAGGCAAAATGTCGCTTGTATTGGCAGAGCTACTCAATACAGTCCAGAAGTAATAACAAGCGTTGTGTTGTTGTGCTGTTTCAGTGTTTGATGATGATGGCCTTATTCTGCATACAGTCAGTCCATAGCTACATGTACATGTACATCAGTACATTAGTACATGTACATGATTGTACATGTACTGATGTAGCTATCCTTTATTACTGTAGTGTAACTGATACATGTTACTACTACTACTGAGTACTACTACTAGTACTAGTACGCTGACAGTGACCATGGTGATACAGCGAGTCAGCGAGGCCGGGCCAGGGGGTTGTGTGCACATTTTATGAGATTAGTACATGTACACGTGACATGTACACGTGACATGGCACTGAAAGCTTACTTCCCATGGCACTGAAAGCTTACTTCCTGTACCGTTTGGCCCGGTCGTTATCATTCTACTATTGTACTTTGTAGTACTGTATTGAGGCAGTTCATACCATCCAAAGAGCTTGTGGTACACCAATCCAACCCTGTATGGTGGACACCGGACTGTTCTAACGCCAATCATGCCAAGGAGCGGGCATGGAAGCTGTGGCGACGCGATCCCCGCAACGAGAACCACAAGGTCCAGTACATCACAACTGTTAACCACGAAGTGGAAGCGTGTCATGCAGCGCAATTAGCACATCAACGTAGAATTCGCAACAAGCTTACTGCAGGTTCCCTCCGGGACAAAGAGTGGTGGTCAACCATCAAGAGCGCAGCAGGCAAGGGACGTTGCTCTGACATTCCCCTGCTGACCAACCCTGCAGGACAAGAGATCCACTCTTCTCGTGAGAAAGCTGAGTGCTTTGCAGCGCATTTTGCGAATAAGTGTAGCCTTGGCAATAACGACCTCTGTGCTGCTGACCTGCCTGACCTGCAACGACCTGCCTATGCCACGCTAAAGCACATTCACTTCCGCGCAGCAACGGTCAAACGGCACTTGGCGAACTTGGCTGTATCAAAAGCAACTGGAGCGGATGGCATCTCTGCTCGTGTGCTCAAGATGTGCTCATCTGAACTTGCAGACCCACTGGCAAAGCTCTTCGCCCTCTGCTTCTTAGCCGGTGTGCAACCTGGGGCATGAAAACTTGCCCATGTAGTCCCGGTTCACAAGCGGTCCTCCAGATCTTTGGCATCTAACTACCGACCAATATCACTGCTAACGATCATGTCGAAAGTCATGGAGGGCATTGTAAACACGCAACTGGTTAACTACCTAGAGAAGCATGAGGTGTTGCCAAACAGCCGGTTTTGGATTCCGACGTGGTAGAGGAACCGCAGATATCTTAACGGCTCTCCAACATGAATGGGTCCACACCATAAGTACTGGCGGTTGTGTCCAGGTCCTCGCCGTGGATATTGCCGGTGCGTTTGACCGGGTATCGCACACAGGAGTGCTGTACAAAGCAAAGCAGGCCGGCGTCGACGGATGCCTGCTTGTATGGCTACAGGACTACCTCACCAACCGAAACATCCGCGTTGTGGTTGGAGGCCAGACGTCAGATGCTCAACCCATCCAGGCTGGTGTCCCCCAAGGCAGCATCCTAGGACCCAGCCTCTTCCTTCTATACACCTGTGACATTGAACAATGTTCAACTCCAGGAACGCAGTTGAGCAGCTTTGCAGACGACACCACACTCTACAGCTTAGTACAGCCAACTGACGATCTCCAACAGTCCACTGCCTCCCTCCAACGGTCCCTCAACAGTCTTGAGGAGTGGGGCCGCAAGTGGCGTATCTGTTTTGAGCCAGCCAAGACACAGCGCATGACTCTACATCGCAAGCACGTTCCCCCTGCACTCCACCAGTCACCTCTGGAGGTGAAGCACTCCAGGAGACAGATACCCTGAAGCTGCTGGGAGTCATGCTCGACCCTACTCTCTCCTACAGAGCGCACACTCGCAGTGTTGCACTGCGCGCCTCCCAAAGGCTGGGTTTCCTACGAAAGGCAGCACCCATCCTGGACGGCCATGGTCGAGTGACGGTCTACAAGGGATTCGTGCGACCCCTACTTGAATATGCCCCACTGGCCGGCCTGGTCGAGCGCAGCCGCAACTAACATGGCCCAGCTGGACAAGGTTCAGCAACGTGCCCTGCATTTCCTGGGACCTGGAACCATCCTCCAAAATCTTCAGCTTCGTCGGATGGTGGCAGCCCTGTCATACTTGTTCAAGCTGCACTACATTCCAGGGCCTCCCCGTAAAGGCCATGCTGCCACCAACCAAGCCCCCTGCCGTAGCTAGCATGTGCATACGGCAAAAACGTCAGACGCACCATGCCTTCCAGCTGAAGTGGACACCCCCTCGCACAGCCCCTGACTACCTCCTGCGATCCTTCCCCTTCTTCGCCATCACACCCTGGAACAAACTGCCTGCGGACCTCCTGCTTCACGAACCTCATTCAAGACGCCTCCAAACCTTCACTGAGGTCAACGTATGTAAGGATCTAATCCGAAAGAGATGGCTGTGGTCCACACAGTACCTGTGATGATGATATTGAGACCCATTTAGTACTTACCTCTCTACTAGTACTTACTTGTTATGATTATTCTCTTTCTTATTTTTTCCCTTCTGGTTTAGTCATTACACGTATTTATATTATTTGGTGCAATACTAGCGCCCCTTTCTCGCACCAAATTATTATTTTTGCTACTTGACCATGCAACCCCCCCCCCTTTTTTTCGATGCCAGGTTGCATTGCAACGCTAACGCCGAGACCCCTGGTCGGTCGAGTTGCTCCCTGTACATCGGCACGTCGTCCCTACATCCCCTGTGTCTTGTCTTGTGTTTGTCTCCACATGTCTCTTTGTAGGGCTGTGTTCCCAATAAAAAAAAATAAAAAAAATTGAGGTCTGATCAGCTGTGCTGTGCGTTGTGAGCGGTGAGGCGGGCATGCATGCAGCATAGCGACAAAGTTTCATTTTATTTTTATTTACATTTTTTGTTTTGTTTTGCTTTGCAGTTGTTGCCGCGGTCAGGCCAGTGAAATCATGTTCTGTGATTGCCCATAAGAGGCTTAAAAAAAAGCATAGCGACTGAGACTGACACCAAGAGTTAGTGGACAACTCCGGGGGGGGGGGGTCAACATTTTGTGTCTTATGACGAGTTTTATCAACAATTATCACTAGTATCAGGCAATTATTTTTTCTGCTGTTTTGCATCATTCGCTTGAAAGTGATGACGTCAAAAACGGCCTGGGAGTAGTAAGTTGACATCAGATTTCTATTTTGGATCCACGAAGGTGTGACTTTGCTATTGCCTCAGTATGTGGGTGCATAGCAAGTATTAGCAACCCACTCATGTCGTATGCAGGTGCGACTTTCACTTCGCCACCAACTAGTTGTCACCCCGCCCCCACTAGCCAAATCAGTCAGTTTCACTGGCTACATCACCTTGCTGTAAGACCGCTTGAAAAGTGCTTGGATCCATACAAAAAACTGGATCCAGGTGGATCCAGTTTTTGAATTTTTCAAATTATAATTGTTGCTATGCCATTGCTATGCTGTGACGTGGCACTTTCAAGCCCTAGTATCCGCTTCAGAAAATGATGTTTCCTCATTATAACTAGTATTACTTACAATGTGCTCCCCAAGACCCCAGTACAAAACAACCCGTTGGAAGACGGTTTTTTCCATTGCCATTGCCCCCCCCCCCCCTACAAGACGACATGAAACATCGATCAAGCTACCGGGTATCCATCATGGGCCTGGGCAGGGTGTACACGTAGCATGCTCGCGTCCCTGGCCTACGCACGTGCGAACGAATAAGAAAATCTTGATACTCGTACAGCCTACATGTACAGGTCTACCCTCGTTAGTACGACATCGGTTACAACAAGACAGACAACGATCTGATCATCACAAGATTCGTTATAACGTCGCCTTCACACGGCTTCAGTGCACTAGTAGTAGTGGCACAGGTTCCCGGGCATTGCAAAAGCGCCATGCATCACGCATCGCCTGGACCTGACAGACTCAGTGACACCGCACCGCGCCGGGGACACACAGACACCATGCCATGGACACAGCCTAGCCTACGTCTCTGCGCTGAGCCTGTCCTACATAATTTTTATACATCTAGACCTAGTAAGTAGTAGACCTACTACTAGGCTACACACCCCTAGCCTGGCCTAGGCCTAGTGCCCTACGCCGGCTACGGCCCTAGCCCTATGCCCTACTATACACTAAAAATGTTGGTCACCATCGCGATCGCGTGGGCTCGTGTAGAAACGAGACCATTCTGCTGATCTGAGCAGGTGGCCTGATCTAGGCACTCGATCGACTCGGCGCAGGCGATCAGAAAACTCGTTTGCGTTCACCATGGTTCACCACTCACGAGGCCGGAGTTTGGTGCTGGTTCACGCTGCCACAGACAGTAAACCCACCACCTGTTGGTTGTTCTTGTAGAATATAATCTGATGTTTGGTAGGCATTCTTCATGCAAAAATAAGAGTAGCTCTGCGGCTGAGTAAGGTATCGCATCGTCCTTATGTAGAGCGAGTTGCCCACTGAGCCACCGGCTCTTCACCCAGACTAGCCGGCAAGAGTACTCGAGTCCAAACTGTGCGCAGCACGCAGAAAAATCCCCACCAATGCGTTCCGGACGATCGGGCCAGTTCTGCTCGTCTGAATAGGAGGGGGAGCGCGGCGAGCTGTAGGCATTTCTGCACCACAACAATGAGTCGGGCGGTGGAAAATTGGTCTCATGCTGAGGTCTGCCTGTGGTTGCGCACCTCCGGATTTGTCAATCTGACGGACAAATTTTCGCAGCTGAACATCGTCGGCAGCGACCTGAAGATGTTGGACGATGGTTACCTTCACGCTAAGATGGGAATAGCAGATCCTTTGGTTCGCTACAGCGTCCTCTCCGCTGTCGATAGTCTACTGGCCAAGGCTGGGCTGAAGCGTGGCATGTCGTACCACTCCGGAGGGTGCGCGCAGCCCGCCGCACCGGGACAACGACCGAATCAGCCGAACCTACCGTCCAGACCTTCAGTGATGCGTGGACAGACTGTGCCTGCATCGTTGGGCTCAGCCAGCACGATGGTGGCGAGCAACACGACCACAGCGAATACACGTACCGCCGATGACCATCAGGGCCAGCAGCGCTCACTCAGCTACACCCAATCGGCGAGCAGCATCCAGCATGCTCCGCACGCTTCGCACCACAACGCGCAGGGTAAGCGCCAGTCGCTGGGGTCCGTCAAGACGGGCACCATGTCGGCGGGCGTCGAACCATCGCTCGGTGTGAGTGCCCAGCAGCTAATGGCTGATGGTCATATGGACTGCTGTGGCTGGATTCGAAAACAGGGAGGAAGCGTTCGCAGCTGTGAGTACTGCAGCTGTGCAGATTCTTGGTACATTTTCATTAACATTTGTGTACATTGTGTGCATGTAGAATGTACAGCCGGCTTCCCTGTACTGTTTAGGATGATTGCTGCAGATTTTCTTTGTAAATTATTCCACATGCGTTAGACATCAGTTCCCGTTCACAGGTGCAGCGTGTTCAGTCGAGCTGACGTTGTAGCAGCAAAGGTTAAACCCGTTGTTGATAGCAACGTATTTCTTTGCGTCAAAGGGTACGCTAGTACTGTGCACCACAGTAGCAATAGCAATGCCAGTCTGAGGCAGTCGTACGAGCAAAAGGCAGAAATGTGTGACATTGAATACTATTTATACTAGCCATCCCGCAGAGTTATCTTTTATCACACACAGTCACCATGGTCACTGGCTGGATTAGGGATAGTGCTGGGGGGGGGGGGGGGGGGGGGGGGGACTAGGGTAACTTAGCCTCACACAGGCATGGGACTCAATCTGACCTGCTGGTCAGCAGTCTTGGAGCACTGAGTTCGATATGGTGAAGCATCAACAGCTTCTTCTTGCTCTCGCAGCTGTCGGTATTTCGGGAGTGGCCCTGGCCTGGTTCCGATCATACCTTTGTGCCAGACAACAGCGGGTGGTTACCCACACTGGAACATCTCCGTTGGTGGCAATCACTAGTGGCGTGCCACAGGGCACCATTCTGGGTCCGGTGCTATTTAACATATATGTACGGAAGCTCCCATTGACAGCAGAGGCCTTTTCTTGCAAGCTCCCGATGTTCGCTGACGACATGACGTTGTATGCCAGCAGACGTACACAAGCTGAGGCCGTCGCTACCGTTACTGATTCGTTATCTGCAATTTCTGTGGATCTAGACGAGCTTGGGCTGCGCATTAATACAACAAAGACTGTAACTTTGATGATTTCTAAGTCTTCTCAACCCCTCTCAACTCCAATCGTTTTTAACCAACAGGCTCTGACTCAAGTGTCTAGCACGAGAATCCTGGGAGTCATTGTAGACAGTGATGTTTCTTGGTCTGGTCACATAGACTTTATCGTTAGGAAGACTTGCACGAAAATTGGCGCTCTTCGACGATGTTTTCGGCAACTAAGTTTGAAGGCAACACGGCAGTTTATCCTCTCGGTTATCCTGCCTGACTTATTATACTGCTGCTCTTGCTTTGCAATGAAGCTATCCGCCAAGGACCGACAGCGACTCTCGTCCGTTTATCGTCGTTCTGTACGCGCTGCTTGTGGCTCGAAACTACAAGAGGACGTCATGCCGCTGTTAGCTAGATTGTCGATTGATCCGTTTGAACATTACCTTATTCGTAGCATTGCTAAATTTATCCATGTTAATCATGTCGTTTTCCCTCTCCCAAATCTGACGGACCTTTTCCCTCAAGTTTCAACCGGCCCTAGGACAACAAGAAGCTCTTTTAATGCTGCTATTGCAATATCTAAATTCCGGACGACTGACGGTGTCAATTCCTTTTCAAATCGTGCTGCCCTGTTCTTTAATTCTTTGCCTGTGGAGTGGCGCACCCAGCACCGCACTACATTTGCTAAGCACCTTCAGACCATGCTAAAAGACGCAGCGTCTTTTCAGAAGTATTTTGATCTTCTTTTCAGCAAACTCCCTCATTGATCTGCACCGCCTGTATTGTATAACTGTGTTTACTGCGTTCCTAGTTTAAATTCGTTTTTAAAAACATCTCTTTAATTCTTGCACTATCCCATTATGACCATGCTTAAAGACGCAGCGTCTTTTCAGAAGTATTTAGATCTTCTTTTCAGCAAACGGCCTCATTGATCTGCATCGCTTGTATTGTATACCTGTGTTTACTGCTTACTGCTTACTGCTGCTTTATTGTTCCAAGTATCAGTTTAGTTTAGTTTAAATATCTCTTATTATTATTATTATTTATTTTTTTCTCACCCCAAACCCCTCTACCCTGTTATCGGCCCTCTTAAGAGTTGTGTTCATCACTGTTGAGGCTTCCGATGGAAAATAAAAGAATACTACTACTACTACTACTGAGCCGGCAACCGATAGTAGGTGCCACAAGCGACCCCGAAGCATGTGAGAGTGAGGATGCAGCCATGGCTGACCTTCATGAGTTCGGTCTGGGGCTGAGAACTTCGGTATTCTGCTAAAGAAATGGCCCTGCGGGCCTGCAAGAGTGAGCGCTGCCGTGCCTGCAACAAATGAAGAAGCAGCAGCTATAGCAGACGAGGCCGGTATAATTATCCGATCTCTGTAGAGCAGAGTAAAAAAAATGGAGAAAAGTGATGCAAGTGCTCTAAATGTTATTCGATACCTACTTACAGACTCTGCACATAAAGAACTACATGAGGGGGGGGGGGGGGGGGGAGAGGATGGACAGGTACTTCAAAGTAGCTCCACACTTCCCCGCATTCAGTCACTTACAAGTACTACGGCACTGCAGACAGGTGGGCATGGGGTCGATTTGGTGATCAGTATGATTGTATTCTCTAAAGCCTGGGAAGCTCTCCCAGTAGTGACATTAGTAGAACCAGTACAACTAACGTTAGCCACTTGACCACTTCCCTGGGCACTTGAAAGGAACAGTGTGTGTTCTTGTTTTCTTGAGGTAGATTTCCACCGGGGGAAATGTGTGAAAAAAATGCAAATGTTCGACCATACCCACATGATGTTCTGACCTTGCCAACCATGTAGCATCCACCATTGTCACCTCATTTCAAAGAGCCGGTGTATTGTCTCAACCCCGTACCATTGTCACCTCTTATTTTACATGTTGATTCTTTTCTGACGTATGACTGATGTTGTTGCACTCAGGGAAGCGACGTTACCTCATATTGAAGAGCGGCTGTATGTACTACTATAAAGATGAGTCGTCATCCAGTGCTCAGGGACAGTTCTCACTAGAGGGCTACCGGTGAGAAGACTGATTCATGTTCTTTCCAGGCTTTGCATCTCTCTCTCTCTCTCTCTCTCTCTCTCTCTCTCTCTCTCTCTCTCTCTCGTATTGGCTCTCTCTTTCTTCTCTCTCTCTCTCTCTCTCTCTCTCTCTCTCTCTCTCTCTCTCTCTCTCTCTCTCTCTCTCTCTCTCTCTCTCTCTCTCTCTCTCTCTCTCTCTCTCTCTCTCTCTCTCTCTCTCTCTCTCTCTCTCTCTCTCTCTCTCTCTCTCTCTCTCTCTCTCTCTCTCTCTCTCTCTCTCTCTCTCTCTCTCTCTCTCTCTCTCTCTCTCTCTCTCTCTCTCTCTCTCTCTCTCTCTCTCTCTCTCTCTCTCTCTCTCTCTCTCTCTCTGTCTCCTATTGACTCTCCCTTTTTCTTTTCTGTTGGTCTGTCTGTCTAGGCCTCTCTTTCTCTCTTTCTCTCATGTATCTTACTCTCTCCTTTTCATCCCTTCTCTCCTGTGCTCCGGTGTTCTTTTCCTTGGCTTCTCTCTCTCTCTGAATACCCACGCTTGTGCTCTGCTGTGGGACGGAGAACTCCTTACTAGCGGCTATGCATTGCCTGAATATCTCGGCAATTTGACTGTACTGGTGACGTAGTTCGCCTGCCACCATGAGCATGGTATCCTGCATATCCCTACATGCCAGTAGTGTGCAGTGCTGGCACCCCCCCCCCCCCCCCCCATTTACCTATCTAACATGTGTGTATCTCCATGTGGTGATGCACTCCAGTATTGCTCAAGCAACAGACACCAAGTACCCATGGTGTGTCAAGCTTGTGCACATCAACCCGAAGAAACGCACCTACTTCATCAGCTTGTCCTCGGAGCCAGAGATGCGGGTAAGATGTGTGCTGTGTGCTTGTGTTTGCAACACATCAACACAGTGAAGTAGCGGGAGATGATACTACCACTGTTAGCAATTGCATAGGAATTGTCTCGGAGTGATCATGTGACATAACTCACCAGTATACATGTATAACCCTTAAAGGGGAAGTTAAGGCAAAAATCAAAATTTCACCAGTTGTAGTCTTCGGGGTGCTGAGTCGAATGGTCTTGGTCCGAGAAAGCTGACACGCTCCCTTCCTACTTTAATCCCAATCGAACTCGCGCACTTCCACCGAAACTGGGTGACTGCGCCCTACTAGATGGGGATTTGTATGCAAAATGTCACTAAAAGCTCCATTTCGTTCTTATAAAAGCACGGATGACTGCAATTGGCCCATATGTTGTAGTCTTTTGGACGCCGAGTCGACTGGTTTTGGTCCGAAAAGGCTGGGATGCAGCGTTCCTCCTTTATTCCCAATCGAACATGGTTGAACAAGTAGTCACGTGCTCCTGGGTGCCCAAATCACCTGGTCACCACGCCAGCAGGCGACAATTTTCACACCAAGGTTCAACTCGAGTGACAGGAGTGCACCCAAAAAAGGTCCAACAGGCTAGTAAGTTGTACCCTGCAGGCACGGTGACCAGGTGACTGGTGTACGCAGGAGCACGTGACCGCTTGTTCAACCATGTTCGATTGGGAATAAAGGAGGAACGCTGCATCGCAGCCTTTTCGGACCAAAACCAGTCGACTCAGCGTCCAAAAGACTACAACATATGGGCCAATCGCGGTCATCCGTGATTTTATAAGAACGAAATGGCGCTTTTAGTGACATTTTGCATACAAATCCCCATCTAGTAGGACGCAGTCACCCAGTTTCGGTGGAAGTGCGCGAGTTCGATTGGGATTAAAGTAGGAAGGGAGCGTCTCAACTTCCTCGGACCACGACCATTCGACTCAGCACCCCGAAGACTACAACTGGTGAAATTTTGATTTTTGCCTTAACTTCCCCTTTAACAGTCGTTAAGTCATGCACTGAAGCTCAAAGGCAAAAAATAGAAATGACGACGAATAGACTCGGATGGAGAGCCAAGGGTAAATTTATAGAAGAGAAAAAGGACCAAGGAACTACAAGTTACCCCTCCTATGTTATCATAAGTATAACTTAGAACCTTCCAAGTTGGAAGGCTGCTGGAGTGCGCATCCAAGATGTGCTAGAGTTGATAGCCAGTTATTTGTGAACGTCAGTACAATCCGTCAGTGTCGTGCAATGTTATCGCATGAGCTGATTGTTTACTAATTGGTGGTGTTAGTGGATATTATAGCATAACTTGTAGTTCCCTCGTCCTTTTCTTATACGAGAACATGTTGCTCTGAGATATCAGGTTTCTACCTGGAAACCCTGAACTATGCTATGAAAAGATGAGTGACTCGAAACTGTCCGGAATTGCATTGTCGACACTAGCGCAGCACACATGGTATAAGCCGCAAGGCCTTTCAATGTGTCACGAACAAATGATAAATATAAGCAAATACGGCACAATGTGCCCATTCTCTCCTGTTGCTGTTGTCCCCCCCCCCCCCCCCCCCGTGGTGAAGCAATGGATGGAGAAGATTGACCACGCGACACGGCAATGGATGGAGGTGACGTCAGGTGGCAGTCAACCGCCAGCATCACCCAGTGCTGTTGATGTAGCACCACCTCCGGTCCTGCCCAGGTAAGCGGCCACAACTGCTCAGTTTGCGGTATTTCCATCCTGTTCTCTCGCTTGGCTTAGCGAACATACTGAGCCACGGCCCACGGATGCTATGTGCACACTCTCCCAAATTATTTGCCTTTTACTCTGCCACCCAAGTTATAGCATTAGTTTTCATTTGTGTATGTGTGTGTGTGTTTGTGTGTGCGCGTGTGCGCGCGCATGTGTGTGTGTATGTATGTGTGTATATGCCTTGTACTCTCCCACTTACTGAGGTGTGGTGAGCCCATAAGTGGGATCATTTCCAAGTCCACCCAGAGTTAGGGATTTCAGGGGTTGTCAGCTGTTGGGCGATTGAATAGCCAGATGAATCATCTTTCCAAGATTCCCTTTGAGTCTCTCTCCCCTTTTCTCAAGGCAAGGAGAGAACCATGTGACCAGTTATGGCAGTGAGCAAGTACAAGCATGTGTGTGTGTGTGCCTGCGCGCGTGCGTGCGTGCGTGTATGTGTGTGCGTCGATTTCCAATCGAGAGGTTGCGGGTTCAATTCCCGACGATTATGGTCGCACACGTCTTTCTTCTTTTTCTCAATCTCCTTGCTCTTCTTTCATTCTCCTGGGTGGTTACCAACAGCCCGTGTATGCCGGTGTATGTGGTGTGGTGCGTGTCAAAAAAGAAGAAAAAAAGAAAGAAAGAAAAATGAAAAATGAAAAATAGGGATTCACTGGCCAGAAAAAGTCACTTCAATCAGCTGTGTTTTTTCTACAAAATCCACGTATCTGCAGACACTGGGGTGAATAATGGAGTGTGGTGGTGGGGCCCATTAAGCTCCGCCGACCAGTGGATACCAGGCTAAACAATTAGTGGCGGTCAATTCATCAGCCTTGCAAGCTGTTGAATGGTGTAATCCCAGCACAAGTTGCTATGTCTAACATAGTTGTTCGCTATCATCGCTTCCGCGATGGGCATGTCTGAGTCTGAGTGTGTGTGTGTGTGTGTGTGTGTGTGTGTGTGTGTGTGTGTGTGTGTGTGTGTGTGTGCATATGTGTGTGTGTGTGTGTGTGTGTATGTGCTGTGTTTGCTCACACGTCTAGACCGGCATCCACTCTGCCTGGCCATGCTAGATCTGCATCGGGGTCATCGGCCTCGTCTGCATCCAACGCCTTGCGGACGGCAAACTCCGATTTCGTAGAGCACGACTTGGATGATGAGGAGGATAGCGAAGAGGATGATACCAATCACTCACCGTCAGGTTACAAAAGAGCAAAATCATCACCTTCGCCGGAAGTGGCACCGCGTCAGCTTGAGCCGAGTGTTGAGGAAGGTGAGCGTGATGTATAGAAACATTACGGCAATGCTTAAAGGTGTATTGGGGGGGGGGGGGGGGGCTTTGCTCTATTCGTTGCATACCCCGTTGGTGCTTGGCACGGTGGATGAAGTTGTGAGCTGTGCCTCGTGTTCTCATGTTGTTTCCGTCTTCCTGTGAACATGCATTTTTCTCTACCCGGATGCGAACACACAATTCATGTGCATGCCTGGCCAACCGTCCCGATATCAAGGTTACTAACCCTGAGGTAACCCGATGTCTTGCCCGATGGCCGAAAGTGTGCTATTTTGTCCTGATATTGGTTTGAAAATCGGCCAGTTTGCTAAAAAACAATTGGCCTGTTTGCATGTGAACATGTCCACTGTAGCCCAGGTAACAGGAATATGGAGCTATGGACCCACAGTAGGAAACTGTACTGGTGTGCTTGTTTTGTCGAACATTTGGTCCGTTGGTCACTAGTTGACCCGATCTTGGATTGGCATAAGGTTGGCAGGTATGTGTGTGTGTGACTGTGAAAGTGCAAGACAAGATCAAGAGTCAAGATACTCAAGACCCACGTGTGTGTGCAGTGAACCTCACCACCACCTTCTTTGTCTGTTGGTATTCAGCTGAGCCGAATGACTACTTGCAGTTGAACGAAGGCTCCATCATCCCACCGGAACAGCAGCCACCGCCGCCCAAGCCAGTGCAGAATGGCGGAGGGTAAGTCCATCGTATCGCGTTCCTTCGCATGGTTCATGCTTGTTGCAGGTGTCCGATACACCACTGGCTGCAATATTGCCGTACATGCAGGCACAGGGCACACAGATTACATGCATTTTGATTATAGATAGTCAGGTCTCTAAGTTCCCAGGTGCATTCTTTTTTGGACGAGATCTATTTGGTTCAAGGGCGTCTTGGGTTCTCACTGCTGCGGTAGTATTGCCACCGTGATGTACGAGGTATTTATTTATTTTATTCCAAGCAATACATGGCTGGGGTAGCCAATGACCACTTTGCGTGGCGATTGCAGTGTTTTTATAGCCAACCATGGCTAACATGGAAAAGAGTAAGAAGTCAAAAAGAAAAGGAAAAGAAGAAAGGAGCAAATATGGACTAAAATTGTGGTCTACTGGTAAAGCAAGGCGTTCCTGAATGCTGTTAAAGTAGAAAGGCCCTTTGTCTCCTGGTGCAGCTTAATGTATGATGATGATGTGTTTGCTCATCACGATCTTAGCCTTGTTGTTTGTTGTTGCTGCTGCCGTCGCCGCCAATGCTGCTGCTGTCGTTGCTTCTACCCCTGCTGCTGCTGCTTGTGCTTCTTCAGCAGACCCATTCCAAGCCCAAGCCATGCTGCACCCACTGCCAGCCGCATTGCTCAGCGTTATGAGATTACTGATCTGAAAAAGGTGAGTCACCGGTGTCCACTTCAGGGAGCGAGGCTTCTTTTAAAAACTATTATCCGCATGAGCGTGATTAACTGCAGCGCTATGGCTGGTGAATTCTGTCATGGATTTTGAATATTTGAAGAGCAGGCTTACACTATGTTCTTCTCTCACTTTGAGACTGAACGACGCATGTATGAACGCATGTATGGTATTGAAGTGCTAAGGAACAATGTATCCACCTCCAAGTCACAACAGGTAGTATGATCAGGGGCCGTGATGGGATTTGTGTGCAAGGTAGTCATTAGATACGACCTGTTGTCATCGGTTGACACCGGTTTCATGACTCGCCAGCAGACTGTTGAGCTGTTAGCCCTTGTACTGTGCTTCTGTGTTTTTTTCCTGTCCCCGGTGTGGAAATGAAGGTGCCAGCAAAGACTAAGCCACAGCCGGAGATGGTAAGTTAGTGCGTGTTCCTTGGGGTGCTTCAGACGGTTGTGTGCATGTATTTGCAGTCCTAGGACTGGCCCGGTATCTTTTTAAGCTGAGAAAAATGGCTTTGGGCTGCATTTTTGGACTACATCCATCATCAGTTGAACTGTTTCAGGCGTAATTAATTTGTCAGGAACTGGTGCTTTCCCCTCGTAGGATAGTGTACACCAACGGCGACACTCGCATCACCTACAATAAGTATAAGGTGGACGCGCTAGCCAAGGAGGGCTTTTGGATTTGTACTGATGGAATGATGTGCCAATTTCCCGCTTGCCTGTTGTACTCTGTATCCAGTCGTCAGCGGATGAAGAGTGTGATTACATCTTCCCAGAAGTTGAAAATCGAGATATTCTACCAGCGTCTGTCTTCCAGGACGGCATGGATCGTGATACCGCGGAAGGGTAAGGACTTTGCCGAACTAGATTGCTGGGCTAACACGGAAACGAGTCGTATGTGATAAGTGTGTAACTGGAGGTGCTTATGTCTCATATCCATGTGATGTTGTGTAGTAGAATTGTACAACTGAGGTAGCTAGTTGGGAAAATGTAAATCCTAGCTGAAAGAGGTTGATACTGAGATATTTGGAGTGGAGCAGTACATGATAAAGAGAGAGAGAAATAGAAGGGGGAGGGTGGGAGGGGCTGTGGCATGTTGTTTTGTGCTTCAAAGGTCTTAGTTGATGGCTGACATGATGGGCTGTCACTGGTATTAAAAGTGTGTGCATAATGTATTAACTTTAGTACCCAGTCTTAACCTCTTTAGCATGACCCTACCTGAGCGCGCCCCACGTCAATACCTGTAATAAGTCCCATTTTCCCATGAAAGTACTAGCTGTTCAAGGATAGATAATTTTACCTTCCCTTGGACGAATTCCACGTTTTTGAGCTTCCTGGAAAGGTCTTGAGACGAGGGACAAACTAGTATCAAACCCAGCTCGGAGTGAAACCGAAAGCCCGTGCTAGAGTTTGGCAAACGTCATCCATGCGCCCGACAGACTTGAGCACGGCAAAGACAAAACGAGCTCAAATATTCAGCTGCCATTTCGATCTCCTTGCTCGTATCGAGCTCAAATATTTTTTGAGATCTCACGAGATCCACTACCATCATTAATTTTGAGTCTTGTTTCCATGGCATGCCGGCAGCAGGTAGCGCAAAATGATTCAAAATGGAAAACACGCGTTCTGCAGACTGCGCAAAAAAATCGAGTTGAAATTTGCCGTGTCGAGTCGCATATCTCAACAACCGGTAGTTGTATCGCTTCGGCGATTGTTTCTATCGCCAGCTGAGAGTTTACTCTTGCAGATACATGTTTCGATTGTGAGAATCGATCAAGTATTGAGTGAGTTACGATAGTTTGAACACCTCACTATGGACTCAATACGGACCCCACGGCTATGAAATGCAGGTTCACTGTACAGTGTACAGCGCACGTCATACTAGTACGACGGGCGTGGGGCACGCAACTCATGTGCGTCGTACTAGTATGAGGTTAACTTCTAAAATTAGGAAGCACTCTTCCATGTACAAGCCCCCAACACATTGTCGCTTGTTGCAAGTATTCCTGCTGCAAAGAAAGACATCCCCGATATGGCACTGAACTGGATGGTGTAGCTGTCAGACCATTGCGTGCCACGTGTAGGCACAACTACAGCTGCACACACCATCAGCAAATGTTGGCAGGCCATGACTCCACTTTCCATCTGATCTGAACGTGTTACCAAGGACCGAGAGTAGGTTTCCACTCGTGACATGCAATTGCCCTCCGGTGTGTTCGGGTGGTATTACACAGCACTGTCGGTGACTGTCCCGTGTCCTTAGCCACTGCAATACAGAACACTATGTGTCCTTAGCCACTGCAATACAGAACAGGAGCCTTTCTGCTACACATGCACATACAGCACTCTTGTAGTAGTTGAGCACTCTCATGTGGGGTAGTAGTTCCTTTGCTGTTTGCATTACGCACAGCTCACTGACTTGTCAGTTTGAGCACTCTGGCAAGGTACGTTCGGGCCTGGTTTAAATCTGGCTTTGGAAATTTTTTTTCATTGTTATCAGGTTCGGCCTCATTTTCTCTGTGCTGCGCTGAGGAGTTCACAAAGAACGAAACAGCATGCTGTCCGCAGATTGAGTACATGTACGTGTACTTCCAGTAGTAGTGCATCCTTTGCATTGGTATACAGTTACTATCCACTGTCTCTTTTCTCTTGACTATGACCACAGGATCCTGAAAAGACTAAACCACACTGGGAGCTATTTGATTCGCAGTGGTAGTGCGCAGCCTAACCAGAAAGTCCTGTCGGTGTGGACAGAGGATCGCTGCCGGCATTACAAAGTGTTCTTCGATGAAGTGAGTGATTGCAATGTATATCAGTAGGACTAGTTGTACCGTCATTCCACAGGGGCGTCGCACACGGTACGGTCACTACGGTATTGACCGTACCACTCTTTTCCCCAAGTACCCCGTGAATCAATAAAATGCACTGATTTGGGCTCTAAATTTCCAAACTTTTCGGCTCAGCCACCCCCCCCCCCCTCAGTAAATTGTACTTCAGATGGCTGACCGTACCACACTAAAATACCTTCCGACGCCCCTGTTCCAACACACACAAGTTCAACAAAGTCCAATTATGGCTAACCAGGACGTCTTCTTGAGTGATTGTACATGTAAATTTCTGCCTCTGGAGTTTTTTCTGCATGATGCCATGATTATGGGGTGTGGCAGGGAAGCTGATTAAGTGTTGATCTGGATATTGTACAGTGCTACATGGCTCGGAGTCATTGCAATGATGTCGTGTGCTGCGGTGTAGTTAGGACTGTGAAGCTGATATTGCCCGGCCTACTCGTGTCACGCGGCAGAGTGTACATAAGTTATATGCCGAGCTGAAACACCCTGGCTGACTGACACCCTGGCTGACTGACACCCTGGCTGACTGACACCCTGGCTGACTGACACCCTGGCTGACTAACACCCTGGCTGACTGACACCCTGGCTGACTGACACCCTGGCTGACTGACACCCTGGCTGACTGACACCCTGGCTGACTGACACCCTGGCTGACTGACACCCTGGCTGACTGACACCCTGGCTGACTGACACCCTGGCTGACTGGTATCGGGAGTGCAGCACGTAGTAGAGGATGAGCATAGAGTCTATAATATGCGTGAGGCAAGGCCTGCCAGCCATGCTGCTCTGTAGGCATGCGATGTCAGCTTTCCCGCCTCACAGTCACAAGCAGTCCAGTTGCACTGCCAGTGCATGGAGCACCTGCTTAATCGCCAACACATTCCCACAGGGAAGGCCGGCCGCTCAGGCATGATGCAACAGCTGAGCGCGTGGACCGTGATGTGTTCAAGCGTGTATATGCACCCTTACCAGGAGTAAACCACTCACACATGTTGCTCAAATATCAATTGTGCCTTGGAAAATTGTTACGTGTGACTTGCGTGTGGTGGACTCGAAAGTGGTTGCCTCATTGCAGGAGAGTGTAAATTGCTTTTTCCCTGCGAAGAACGTTGATTCTAAAGATGTCTAACAGTTGCATGATCCAAAGCCTTGGTCTGGGTCACCCAGAGTGTAATTGAATGGCGTATAAGCCAGTGACATCAGAGCATATGTTTTGTATACAGTGAAAAGTCAATGCACGTGCAACAGTTTGCCACTCCAAACAAAGCTTCTCAAACGATGACATAATAATTCCGAACCCTCATTTACTTAGTACCCCGGAGGGGTGGTTGTTTGGTTGGTATTTTCTGATTACTTCGCCAGAATGTACTGGCATTGCTGTCTTCTTGTCTGGAAAAATGGCTCGGATTGTCCAAGCTCCGAGTCACAAAATGACGAAAGAAAGGATAGAACTATTACATGAGAGTGTGAAGCATGCAAAATAAGAGAGAGAGAGAGAGAGAGAGAGAGAGAGAGAGAGAGAGAGAGAGAGAGAGAGAGAGAGAGAGAGAGAGAGAGAGAGAGAGAGAGAGAGAGAGAGAGAGAGAGAGAGAGATCCCCATCCATGTGCAGGTGTCTCTTTTTGGAAATGCACTTGCTCCCAGCCCGTTTAGTGGAGCTTTCTGTGTGGTGTTTCTCCTCTCTACCATAGAAGCTGAAGTTTTCGCTGCAGCGAGGTACTCATTTTGCTACGCTGCCAACACTAGTCCAGCACTACCACGCAAACTCCCTTCCAAAGTGCGAGTACAAGCTTTCTGAACCATATCATGGCTGAGTCCAGTACACGCGCGCTGGCGTCTGTTAATGGATACTCGGCATGTTTGGTCACTCCCCGTGGTTTTAAAGGCGACAACCAGGCTTTTGAAACGGGATGGGTGTAGCATAGCATGCGGCTAGGTGACGATCACATTCAAATCCATTCGATCTGTTCTCTAGCTATTTGAAATTTAGTTCATCTTCTATGGAGTATTTGTTCCATAACCATAGTCTGTATTTTCGATGATTGTATGTATTTTTGCTGAAAAGCGCTATTGTTGCCAGATATCCATATCTAACTAGAGCACCTATGGATGATTCCAATGTAAAGTATCATTATTCATTTATTGTGGCTCAGTTTCCATTGCCCAGTCACTGCCCGTGCTTTGAAAGACATGCTACCACTATGATGATTCAGTGTACGTGCAGATCAAAGGGCGTGTGATTTGTTTTTGCTCCAAACATACCAGTGCCCTGTATGGCCGAATAGCTTTCCTATCGTGACCTAACCCCGTCTAACTGAGTGGCTACTTCTTTTAACAGCCACGCACTCTCCAAGTCATGCAGCAATTGAGGAATAACAAATATTATACATTTTTATACAGGGTAAGCTCGGAATGATTTCAATTTTTGCTGGCTCTGTTCTGCCATGCTGACAGCGACAGTTGGCTAACTGAAGGTCTCATTGAACAGTCTCCTTGTTTTGTTTTCACCGGTGTGCGCTGGCAGCATTATCCATAACCTTTGGCCTTCAAACCATCTTTGTCAAACTTGTCACACGGTATTTCTTTTCTTTTCCGGAATGCTAGCCGCTGAAGCTCTGATCTGGTGATGTCTTATTAATTGTTGCATTGTGGCAGTATTTTAACTCTTTGTTGTGTGGGACGAACGTGCTGCTGCTGCGTGCATGATGACTAGCTCGACTGCAATGCTGTCTACGTGGTCTACCCAGTCCGCTGTTGCCCAGGAATTAGACTTACTGCTCTGTATCCAATTTTTGCATGCAAGTGATCCTATTGAAACCCGTGACCTCATGATGAGTCATGTACACGCAACAGAAGGAAAACCCCTTACACCATGTACACCGATCGACGCTCGACCACACAAACTCCAACGCCGTTACATGGTTACATTGTATCACAGTATTTAATTTTTACTCCGTTCAAGCAGCACTTTTCGGAAACTTTGGCCTGAAATCGGCCCCACGCATAAGAAAGGATGGGTCGACATGATGTAGCCTGCGGTGCAGGCTGTTCATACGCCGTGTCACAACACAACACTGGCAAACCGCTAAGCGCAGCCTGTGTGAAAGGCGGAATCTGGGCAGTCATATGGACTTGCATTTTCGGGCTCATCCGTTTCTCCTATCGATCCTCAAGTGTCGCGAAATCATGCTCAGACGACCGGTTTGTCATGAAGACCACCAACAAGGAATTACTAGTATAGCGCCGATGATGCATCGATGACTTTGAGCCTTCGGCTTCGGTAGATCTACGACTCGCACAGTAGAAACGCGAAAAAACCCAGTTCGCCTGGCATAGTGTCGCGTTTCCCAGCGTTGCAAAGCCTACATACATGTAGGCCGAAATACGACAACAGCGCATCGCCGAGCGCGAATGGCGCGCTTACGTAGGTACTAGGTGGTGGGTTAGCATGGCTTGGATTTGGAATCAGACAAATCTTGTCCATGACACAGCGTCACCATGGTGACAGCTTGGCTCAAATGCGACGTGCATAAATAATTATTATTGCTATCTGATTATTGTGAAAAAGGAGGACAAAATGTTATAGATTTATTATCTGATCATTGTACAATCATGTAGATCTACATGACGTTTTGTAGTACTAACCCTAGAATGATAAAAATCATTTGACTCTACAAAGTATAAATTACTATAATACCGTATTTTTCGGAGTATAGTGCGCACTTTAGATGTGCTATTTTAGGCCATAAATCGCAGGTGCGCACTATTATTATTATTTTATTATTATTATTATTATTATTATTTCACAATCACGATGACATAGTGCCAATAAGCATGTGATGCGGGCGATTTTAACCAGCCATGGTGGGGACAACTGAGAAAAAGAAGGAGAAGTAAAAGAGAAAACAAAACAAAACAAAAGGAGTACTATAGGAACCTGGAGAGAGCAGTATGAAGATTAGGCTAGCAATGGAAAACAAAGAATTCAATTCAATTCAACTTAGGCGCGGGCAGAATGGAACAAAATGCAGCGAAGGTGTCACGAGACTTTACCTCCTGCGGAAGCCGAGACCAATGAGAATAGGACTTGAACAGAGGGGATTTTAAAAGGATCGATGACCTGGCAAGTGGGAAATGGAGAGAACATCTAGTACGCGAGCTATTATTGAACCAGCTTAAATGCGCAAGTGCATGAGGAGGAGCAAGTTGAAGCTTAATACGGTGAATGAATTTGCATGCCGAGTGGGGAAAGCGTTCTGAGAGAGGGGAAGAGGAAGCCAAAATGTATAGCGTCTGAGAGGAGGTCAGAGGGGGCATGCGAAATATTAATCGAAGTAATTTACGGTGGGTGACTTCTAACCGATGCATAAGAGCGGAGGATAGACCGGAGGACCAAACGAGAGAGCAGTAATCAAACAAAGGAAGAACATAAGAGTGATACATTTGTATTCGACAACCATGGTGTAGATGGGAGATGTGAGGAGAAATGCAGCCTATCGCGGAGCAAACTCGCTTTTCAATATAGGTTACGTGCGAATCCCAGGACAAGTGTTCATCAAGAAATATACCAAGGTGTTTGTGATTTTTAACAATGTTGATAGCAATGGGATCATCAGGGAAAGTAAAAAGCCGAGTCGTAAGGAGGGTGAGGTCACTGGAGGGTCGTGGGGGGATACAAAGGATTGCCGTTTTCGACACATTGGGGCGGAGTTCCACTTCGACATCCAGCGCACAACTTGATTAATGTGATACTGTAGCGAGTCGCAGGCTTGCAATAAGCCTGGCTCGGTTATATGGAGCGCTGTATCGTCCGCGTAGAGTGAGGTATGATCCAAACCTGCCAAATCATTAACGTATACGATGAACAATAGAGGCCCCAAGATAGAGCCCTGGGGCACTCCAGAGTGGACTGTTTGAGGGGCGGACAGGGCATGTCCAATTCGGACACTCTGTCGACGTTCAGTGAGATAGCTGGTGAGCCACTGCAGACACGTCCCGGCTACGCCAAACGCTGCTAACTTATGGAGGAGACCCCTTGTCCAGACAGTGTCAAATGCTTTGCTGAGGTCGAAAAAACATAGGAGGCTAAATTGCTTCTGATCCTTGCATTCATATAGCTTCTGCACAAGCCTCAGCAACTGCCAGGCGGTCGAATCGCCTCGCCGAAATCCAGACTGTGACGGGTCAAGGACCGGGTTCACATGTTGGTATAAGTTGCCAAATGCCACACGTTCACAGAGCTTTGAAATGGTGGAAAGGAGTGAAATCGGCCGGTAATTGGATGCAGACAGTTTACTGCCTTTATTCTTGTAAATAGGCACAACCACAGCTGCCTTCCAGACATCAGGGAAGATTCCGGTGGCGAAGGACTGGTTGAAAACTAGGCTGAGAGGGATAGCTATACTAGGAGACAGGGCTTTTAGCAGTTCATGGGATATGCCATCTGCACCTGCCGCCTTCTTGGGCTTTAGGCGACGGATGTGGTGGGCAATGGCGGTGGGAGTAGTGCTAAAAGAGGGTAGTGCTGGGAGCCCGTGGTGTGGAATACCAGGGAGAGACCATGCAAGATCATCCGGTGTTCCAAAGCTGATGAATTGGCGATTCAGAGCATTGGCAATCTGGGTAGGGTCGTTGTGTACTGTGTTATTTTCATGGAGTTCAGTGATGATAGGGTTTCCAACAAGGGTCGGCGAACGAAGCTGCTTAACAAACTTGAACAAACTAGGGGTGGATGCAATAATGGATGAGGGGTTAGTGCTAATGGAGGACACATACTGGCGGTGAGCCTCTCTAGATAGGATTCGTGCTCTGTTACGTTCGCACTTGTAATGCTCGTGATTGCTAGGGGTAGGATACTTGCGATACAAGCTGTACGAGTCTCGCTTCCTCTTCAGCTGAGCTTTAACAGCACGTGTCAGCCACGGGGGACTTGGTGTACGTCGTCTAGGGGCTGAAGAGCGCGACCGGGTGGGTAGGAAAGCGGAGCATAGACTATGAAGGATGTCATAAAATGCTGGAGCAGTACGGTTTGGATCTCCAAGCTTCAACTGGAGAGCAGCATGCCAGTTCAAATTAGCAATGGATTCATTTAGAGCAACTAGGTGAGTGGGAAGAATGGAGGAGATGTCAAACTGACTGAAGTCAGGTATCTGGAAGGAATGGGAGGGCAGTGTAGTGTTGGGTGCAGGTGGTGATGCGGTACATGTCGGGATGCACAAACGGCCGAGAACAATTGAGTGGTCCGACTGACCGAGAGGGGCTGAGGGGCGCGGATCGCAGATGCTGGCTGCAGTGTCAGTGATCATCAGGTCCAGAGCAGCCTCATTGCCTTTGTGGGAGCGGTGGGTCGAGAATGTGACGTGTTGCTGCAAGGCAAACATGTCAAGAAGACATGAAAGGTGGTGGCCTGCAGTGTCTGTTGTTGTTCCATACCAGGTGGAACATTTAGCATTGAAATCTCCCATGATGAGGACTGGCGAGCCAGGGGTCCGTATTTTAGTCAAGCAGCTTTGAAACGAGGCGTAAAAGTTATCTATCACCGACGGGTCGGTGGACGGTGGGCGGTAGACAGCCGCAATTTGGATGGGCTGCTGGCGCGTGGGGCAAGCAGAGGTTCCAGTGGATGGCGATATCTCTACCCAGGTAGCTTCGAATTGCGGAAGATGTAGGTCTGTACGGTGGGTAATAGGACCAAATGCACTTGATTTTACTAAGATAGCAACACCGCCATAGGCCAGGAAGTCGTTGGTGTTAATTTTATTCTCGGAGGTGGGTCGATCCTTTCGAAAACATTCATAGCCTGGGAAGGAGAGGGAAATTTGTGGACACAACCAGGTTTCAGTTATGCAAACAACAAGGGGACAGCTGGTCGTGAGAAAGTCGGATAGCTCAGCAGATTTGTTTCTAAGGGAACGTGCATTGATACAGGCTACGGGAAAGGAGGCTAGGGGCGTTGAAGGATAGAAGGGTGTTGCGTTAGGGTCAAGTTGAGGTGTTGGTTTACTCATTGTTCAGATTCAGCCTGGTCAGTGTGGAACCTCCATTTCCGGATACTAATTTTGTCAGGCCAGAAACCAGGCCCTTGGATCTTGTCTACACAGTTCTCTCCCACAACCAGGTGGGCATAAGCTGTACCAAAGTACCGTGATTCTGAGATTGAGCAGTGAAAAACTTCGACATCTTTCTTTTTACACCACAGTTCAATTGAGGCAGCATCGCATCCAAGGTCTACATTGCCAAGGTAGAAAGCCGTGCGCTTCACCCGCTCCACGCCCTGAAGGTCAGTGCGTTTGGTACGGGCTGGCTCTTTTGTGAACTGGCTTGTGATAGTGCGTTTCAGTGGACTACCGGTAGTGTTGGTGTCGGCTTGTGCAGGGCGGCGGCGGTGTGGGTTTTGCCACCCATTGTCGCTTGTGCTTGTATCTTGCGTTTGAGGTTTGGCGGGCAGGTCAGGTCTGGCCGTTGGGGTACTACTTCTTGTAGTAGTACGTGTACTACCGTCCGTGCTGGTGTGTGTGCCTGTTGGTGAGGAAGCTTTCCTTGCAGTGCTACGCTCCGAATAGGAAATGCATGTACATGTACATACTTCAATGAAGATTGAAGTGCGCACCCCCAATGAAGATTGGGGGTGCGCGTTATACAAAGGTGCGCACTATACTCCGAA